GAATTCTCACCACAAGGATATAACCTGCCTGGGCTGAGTGGGGTGTGCGGCGTTCAGCCCGCATGTCGTTGTGATAGACAGACATTCCCTTGAGAGCATAATCCCAGCGTGGGAAAAGGCCCCACCCTGCCCTCACCTCCCCACGGTCATTGCAGTGTCTGATCCATCGCCCATCGCTCCCCTCAGTCTCTCAGTGCTCCCTGCCCAGCCTGAGACACCCCAGAGCGCTCACCCAGCCCCCTCGGCCCCTCACCCAGCCCCCTCGGCCCCTCACCCTGCCCAGTACCTTTTCCTGTGAAGAGGTGCTGAGGGTCACAAGAGCCAAGGCGAGGACCAGACAGAAGCCTGTTTTCCCCATGGTTACTGCGAATGGAGGCTGCCCGCAGGTGCCAGGTGAGTCTCCTTCCAGGGACTGGTGTCTGGGGCGCCCAGTCACCACCCTCTTTATAGCCCTTGACACAGGCGGGGCTGGGATGGGTGCTGGTTGTTTACTGACTAACAGTTCCAAGAAATCGATATTTTGTTTGCATAAGTTTAATTTTCAAGGAAGAGGAAGTGATAAGGGCCGTGTGACCTGGGCAGTGATGTGTAACTTCTTACCGAACGCGAGTCCAGGACTGTCGCTCTCTGGGTACCCTGATGCCCGGAGCGGCTGTTGAGTCCGTGTGAAGCGATGGAACCAGGCCCAGGCCTGGCTGAGAGCACTTTGGTGCAGAGGCTCATCAGGTTCGCTCCTCGCTGGGCTCTGAGGCCCAGATGTAACGCTGGAGTCCAGAGGTTCTGCGGCTGTTGCAGTGCGAGAATTGACTGACGAAGGCGGCAGTAACGGCCCCCTGGGAACCAAGAGCTGCTTGGGGGGCTCTGGGAACATGTACAAACAGCAGCATGGCTCAGCGCAGCGCAGGGAAACGATGCCCATTTCCAGGTGGTTTCTGTGAACACACACGACTGTGAATTACACCCTGCGACGGCACAGGCTGCCAGCGACCACAATGCTAAATACCAGGGCCTGGAAGAGTGGCTCATGGATGGGGAATCAGGACGGCAACTAGGCACCCTCAGTACCGGGGTGAGAGAGGAGACAGCACGTGGGCAGCCGCCGCAGCAGGATGAGAGGGTGAGAGCAGGACAAAGCCGTGCCAAGCGCTGTGGGGACAGAGCCGGGGTAGGGGTGGGGCCGAGCTAAGGGGCAGAAACGCCTACAGGGGAGAGGTCAGCTGGAGAAGCACAGGAGGCCGTAGCCTGCAGGAAGAAGGAAGGGTACCCATGGAGGGTGGGAGCTGCAGGAGGGATCCACAGGGCGGGGAGGGATGGGGTCAAAACCCTTTTATCTGCTGCCTAACTGTTCACAAACTCGTCGGCCAGCTGGTCTGGGTGCTGCGGGTTCTCTGGCTTTTGGTCCATCAACCATCGCTCAGGTCGGATTGGGCACTGCTCATACACGTGCTCCAGTACGAATAGGTCAAGCAGGTTTTCTTTAGTTTGGGCCCCAGCTGTCCACTTGCGGGCATACCCCTGCGCCCGGTTGGCCAGTTGTAGGTATGTGACCTCACGGGTTTTATCCTGACTCTGGAACCTTTTCCGGTACATCTCAGGGGTCAGCACAAACTCGCGGAGCAGGGCCTTTTTGAACAGTTCGTAGTCCCCTGTCTCCGCCCCTTTCAGTCGGCTGTACACCTCCCTGGCTGTGGGGTCCAGTGAGGGGATGAGAAACTGGAGCCTCTCTGCAGGGTCAACCTGGAGCAGCTCGCAGGTATTCTCAAAGGCCGTCAGGAAGGTATCCATGTCCTCCCCCTCCTTACGCTGGGCCAGGAAGCACTTATCAAAGCTCTTTGCAGTCTTGGGTCCCCCCTCGCTCACCGCAGCCGAGGCCCCACTGCTCCTCAGCCTGGCCAGTTCCAGCTCATGCTGACGTTGGTTTTCCTTCTCTTCCCGCTCCTGCTTCAGCTCTTGCTGCCTTAACTCAAACTCTTTCAGTCTCAGCTCCCTGTCATATTCCAGTCGCATCCGCTCCCGGGACGGGGAGCTCCGCCGGAACGATCCCCTGCTGGCCGCTGGGGTCAGGGTGCCCTCAGCATTCACTGGGCTTCCCCCAACCCCTCCCCTAGGCATAGGTAGGCAGGGTCTCGGGATGTCCTCGGCAGCAGTCTGACCCCGCCCAGCCAGGCTGGGTCCCAGGGCCCACGCTGCATCCGCCGGGCGGCTTCCCTCAGGGACAGGGCTCGGTTCATCCAAGCGATCCCTCTCCTCCAGCTGGGCAATGAGCTGGTCTTTGGTGGACCTCCCAATGCGCAGCCCCCTCTGCTTGCACAGCTCCACCAGGTCGCTCTTGAGGCGTTTAGCATACATCCTTCTGCTGGCCACTCACCAGCCTGTGCTCAAAGGTCCATCCAGCCCAGTATCCTGTCTACTGACAGTGGCCAATGCCAAGTGCCCCAGAAGGGGTGAACCTAACAGGTAATGATCAAGTGATGTCGCTCCTGCCATCCATCTCCACCCTCTGACAAACAGAGGCTAGGGACACCATTCCTTACCCATCCTGGCTAATAGCCATTAATGGACTTAACCTCCATGAATTTATCTAGTTCTTTTTTAAACCCTGTTATAGTCCTAGCCTTCACAACCTCCTCAGGCAAGGAGTTCCACAGATTGACCGTGCGCTGTGTGAAGAACTTCCTTTTATTTGTTTTAAACCTGCTGCCCATAAATTGCATTTGGTGGCCCCTAGTTCTTATATTATGGGAACAAGTAAATAACTTTTCCTTATCCACTTTCTCCACACCACTCATGATTTGATAAACCTCTGTCATATCCCCCCTTAGCCTCCTCTTTTCCAAGCTGAAAAGTCCTAGCCTCTTTAATCTCTCCTCATATGGGACCTGTTCCAAACCCCTAATCATTTTAGTTGCCCTTCTCTGAACCTTTTCTAATGCCAGTATATCTTTTTTGAGATGAGGAGACCACATCTGTACTCAGTATTCAAGATGTGGGCGTACCATGGATTTATATAAGGGCAAGAAGATATTCTCCGTCTTATTCTCTATCCCCTTTTTGAATGATTCCTAACATCCTGTTTCCTTTTTTGACTGCTGCTGCACTCTGCGTGGACGTCTACAGAGAACTATCCACGATGACTCCAAGATCTCTTTCCTGATTAGTTGTAGCTAAATTAGCCCCCATCATATTGTATGTGTAGTTGGGGTTATTTTTTTCCAATGTGCATTACTTTACATTTATCCACATTTGCCATTTTGTTGCCGAATCACTTTGTTTTGTGAGATCTTTTTGAAGTTCTTCACAGTCTGCTTTGGTCTTAACTATCTTGAGCAGTTTAGTATCATCTGCAAACTTTGCCACCTCACTGTTTACCCCTTTCTCCAGATCATTTATGAATAAGTTGAATAGGATTGGTCCTAGGACTGACCCTTGGGGAACACCACTAGTTACCCCTCTCCATTCTGAAAATTTACCATTTATTCCTACCCTTTGTTCCCTGTCTTTTAACCAGTTCTCAATCCATGAAAGGATCTTCCTTCTTATCCCATGACAACTTAATTTATGTAAGAACCTTTGGTGAGGGACCTTGTCAAAGGCTTTTTGGAAATCTAAGTACACTACGTCCACTGGATCCCCCCTTGTCCACATGTTTGTTGACCCCTTCAAAGAACTCTAATAGATTAGTAAGATGCGATTTCCCCTTACAGAAACCATGTTGACTTTTGCCCAACAATTTATGTTCTTGTATGTGTCTGACCATTTTATTCTTTACTATTGTTTCAGCTAATTTGCCCGGTACTGACGTTAGACTTACCGGTCTGTAATTGCCGGGATCACCTCTAGAACCCTTTTTAAATATTGGCGTTTGTCACGGAGTATTGGGGACTTAGGGCCCTGCACCCCCGGCTTCCTGCGATTTACCATGACTTTTAGCCAGCCAGTAAAGCAGAAGGTTTATTTGGATGACAGGAATACAGTTCAAGACAGGTCTTGCAGGCACAGACAACAGGACCCCCCCAGTTAAGTCCAGCTTGGGGTCCCAGGGCATTCCAGCCCACCCCCCTTGGAGGGGGGGGTCAGAGCCGTTTTTGCCTCCCAGCCATTTCTCCAGCTCGCTTTCAGCACTTTGCCTTTAGCGACCCCTCCCACAGCCTTTGTTCAGTTTTTCGGGCTAAGGAGTCACCTGGCCTTCAACCCCTTCCTGGGTTCTCATGTTACACACTCAGGTATGCGCCTTTGGCAGATTTCATCCTTCAATGCAGACTATCCCAGCCACCCTAGTCACCTGGCCTTCAACCCCTTCCTGGGTTCTCATGTTACACACTCAGGTATGCGCCTTTGGCACATTTCATCCTTCAATGCACACTATCCCAGCCACCCTCCCCTGTCAGCATTTATAGACCACAGTAAGAACAGGCCCAGTTCGTTACATCTCCCCCCTTCGAGACCGAACTGAGCAGGGTCACTTTAGCCAGTGACCCGGGAAAGTTCGAACCTACCCCCGTTTCCATGGATGCCCCCGCATCCCTCCCATTCCTTGGTGAGAATTACACCAGGCCCCTCCAGTTTCACGCCCCCCCTTAGATCGGGGGTGCTTGATGGCACTTGCAGTTTGCATGTGGGAAGGTTTATGCGGCCTGTGCCCTTTTCCCACCCCCATACCTTTGGGGCTTCAACTGGGCTGTGGTTTTTTTCCAGCGCTTCAGTTTGGAGGTTTGTGCTTTGGGCTTTCTTGGTTTAGAGCCGCCCTTTTAACCTTGGCCACCCTCCGGAAAGGCTCCTTTATGCTGGGCAAGGGTCCTAGAGCTGATTTTCCCTTGTCCCAGGCCTTCCTCCCCCTCTGACAGGGGTTACAGGATCGGCAGTACTGTCGGACAGTAACAAAGACCCCAGGCCAGTAAAAGCTTCGTAGCAGCCTCTGCTGGGTACGCCAGGTTCCCTGGTGCCCTGAGAGGGGAATGTTATGGGCCCGGCACAGCAGCTGGCGGCGATACTTCTGGGGTACCACCAGCTGCCTCCTGATCCCCCCTGACTTCATTTTCCCTGGGGGAGCCCATTCTTGGTATAGGAACCCCTTCTTCCACAGGAACCTTTTTTGGCCACCTCGTTCCATGGTCTGTACCGCATTGAGGTCGGCCAGGTCCCTTATCTTCCGCAAGGAGGGATCTTTCTGTAACTTGGCCTGGAACTTAGCAGCTGGGACAGGGATGGCCACCTGCTTTTTTTTGCCCGCTGGGTTTGAAGCTGCAGCCTTCCTGAGCCGTGTCCCTGGGCGTTCCCTCCCCACCAGGTTAGGGTCCTGCGCCTCGGGCAAGGCACCCCCCCCCAAGGCCAGGGCGCAGTGCCCCTCGCCGGCTTTGACTGCGGGTCACAACCAGTGCCCTTTGGGGGTTGCTTGGCCAGT